ACACAACACATGATGTAGGTTGTATATATGTACTTTCTGCTAGTATGAAACAGGAAGGAGTTTACACTACCATGCATTGTTCATGATGCACATATTATATGATCAACAGGAGCACATTCATGTGTGTAAGATCTCCTTCCCTCCTATATCAAGTGAATGACCTGGACTCCCCCTCCCCCCAAAATAAAGACATTTGATTCTAGTGCTCCAACCATGTGTAACAGGAGCATGTGTGCTACCCATGACAGGCACATACTGAAGCTATACATGCATAAAGATATGCATGCTGCTCTTATTCACACAAAATGGCAACCATATATATCAGGAGGATCACAAGGTAACACATTACTGCTATGGGCTGGCTGAGCACCGAAAATGAATGTCTGAACAGGGCTTATATTTTGGGTTGGTTCATATATCCATATACACCATTGGTTTCTCATCACTTAACTGTTCTACATTTTGTGGGTGGGTGTGCACATACGTGCATGTGCATGAATGGACTCCCATGCACTACAGACAACATCAGCCAATATGAACACTGCAGTTACAGTATTAGATCTGTGCAAGATGGTAGGTCATCAAGTACAGAGTAAGCATGTGTGAGGGGATAAACCACATTAGACACCGGGAGGTGAATTAAACCAACTGTGATTTTCCTTTGAGAGGACTAGATATGCAGGGCTTCTATTCAAATCAGGACTGTGGCACAACACCGGGGGGGGGGGGTGTTGCTCCCTGTGCCATTTCCTTGCCTTGAAAGCACCCTGGAACAGTACTATTTACTGGGGATGAGCATTCAACTATATCCAAGCCAAAAAAAAACCTGAAAAAACTTTATCGATATTTTCTGGCTATTCTTTCAGCTGGATATAGATTTGGTTTTGGCTTTTCTTTTGTCGTTGATGGTTGTTGGGTTGGGTTTTTTGTTTGTTTTTTGGCTATCCAAAATGGCCAAGCCCAGGGAGCTTCCGGTGGGTGGATCGGCGATGGCGGTCGCTCTCCTTGAAGCATGAGGAGGCGACTAACACAACTTCGGCTTGGAGGGGGGCCACCTCAAGTGGCACTTCCACGGAACCCTCGTGGTGGGTTCCAAGCCAAAGGGCTTTTGAGAGTTAGCCTCTTCGATGGCTCGAAGCCATGGAATAGAGGCTTCCCTCCGCCCTGATGGTCCAGCCGATGGGTGACCTATGGGTGTAAGCCAATCTGACAGGGACAAGCGCAGGAGATCAAGCGGAATAGCGATGGAAGAGAGCGAGGTCAGAAGTGACCAACAATGAACGTGCATGAGAGATAAACGAACTGTTTTTGTAAAGCGAAGCCCCCCCTCCCGTGGAGAAAGCGGAGTGCAGGGAGGGACGCCTCCTGAGCGACTGAATAAATCAAAGAAGCGAAGGGGGGAAGAGGGGAGAGAAACAGCATTACATTTTGAGAGACTTACTTGAGCTTGGATAGAGAAATGGTGAGTCTTTCAAGCTCTGAAACAGAGCAGTGTTGAATTGTAAACAAAGAGAAAACATGGTGGTTCTACGAGGGAAAATAAAACCGAAAGTCAGCCAGAGTCCAAGATCGTAAAAGTGGAGCAGGCAACTGAGAAGCTGGTAGAGATGGACACTGGGAACAAGAAGATGAGGAAAAGAGTGCCAGAGGTGGAAATAAAACAAAAGCTGCAGGAAAACCGTTTACTTCAGCTGCAAATGGAGAAAGCAAACATGACTCTCAGATTTCAGGGACTGCTTGAAAAGGAAAAAGAAGATTTGAAGAAGACTCTGGGAGAGATCATCGCTCCAGTAACAGGCTTATCAGTGGATGAAATAATAAAAGATATAGAGTCTGCCTATCGGGTATACTCTAATTACATTAAAAAAAATAGCCTGCCTGGGGAGATTGTAGTTAAGTTTGCAAGAAGACAGACCAGAGATGTTATATTAAAGGCAACTTCGGCAAATCCACTGAAATTTGGGAATACAAATATTAAGACTCTAAAAGACATCCCATTTGAAATCCGTCAAAAGAGGAAAAGCTACAAAGAATTAATCTCATTTCTTCAGACAAATGGAATACAATATCGCTGGGTGATCCCTGAAGGTGTCATCTTTAAAATTAATGATAAAAGAGAGATTGACTCCATCTTTAAAGCAAAGGAATTTTTGAGACAACAGCTAGGGCCAGAAGCAGAACTCAAAGATGAAGAAACAAAATCGAGTGACTTTGCTACCTCTGGAACGGGGGAGGACTCTGGGGAGGAAGCGGGTGCGGGAGCAAGCAAAACGGTGTATGATTTCAGAGAAAGAAGACAGAAGTAAGGGCAGAAGGACTCTGAAAATAGCCCTATGAAAATAAGAAGATGTTCAAGAAGTGTTCTCAAAATATTAAAATTACTAACATTGAAGCAGTAGTTAAAAATAACTCACAAGTGTATTGTTATACTAACACGTATTTACTAACATGTAGTTTAACACGGAAATGATCTCCTACTCTTGGTTTTTTAGTTAGTGTGGGTAACTTTTCTTTTTCCCTAGTTGTAGTCCCCCTTCCTCTATTTTCTGTTGTAGTTATGTAGCCTATTGAAAAACCAATAAAATTACCCTCTTCGGGGTTTCAAAAAACAAAACAAAATGGCCAAACCCCCAAAATCCAAAAAAATATTTTTCGAGACTGCCTGACAGTCAAAGTTAAAGGGTGTTTAAAGGGATTGCAGCCTCTTTAAATGCCTTCCAGGTGAACTCACCACTTGGAGAAGGTGTTTAAAGGGACCATAGTCCCTTTAAATACCTTTTTCCCCTCCACTGAAACCAATGGAGGATGGGAACACATTCTTTGGGGCCCACAGAATTGGACCCCCTGGTCCAATCTTTTTGTAACTTGGGGTGTTTTTTTTAGGAGATGCACCAGCAGCTATGCTGCATATTTGATGCTTCTACCTAAAAACAGCCTCCCTTAGAGCCCCAGGTATCCCCAGATTGATTCTCCATTATACCTTATGGGGACCATTGACTAGAATGGTCCCCATAGGGTACAATGGAACTAAAAACATTCGGGATTTCTGAAAAATCCCAAATCCAAGTACCATACTGGTATTGGAATTCAGGAATACCAGAAAATACCGATGCGGGGTTTTTTTTTGCACACCCTTACCATTTATCCTGCTGGGCGCACATATTGACGCCCATATGCTTGCCCCCAGTGAGGTGAAGAACAGTTCTTTGGGGCCACTTCAGGTCAGGAAAACAGGAAGAAGGCTTAAATCCTCTTCTCCTCATGCAACTGTCCCAATCAGAATTGGGCCCCCATACAAGCAATATTTGAATGATATGTAAAACAGCCTTTAGGTGAAAATACACTAGGAGCTCCATACATATTATCCTTCCATACATATTGTCTTGTCTCTGCCCAAGAATGCAGAGTCATAACTACACAATACGGTTTTAATCAGTACATCCCTGTCTTCGAGTCAAGAGATGTGTTCAGGGAATTCCATGTTTCCAAACTGTTCACAGGCCCAACATGGATCAGGAATGCAGCACATGGGAAAAGGGAACTTACCCTCTGCACCATCTTCCAGCTCTGCAACAGCCTCAGGGAGTTCCTAATCATGCTGCTGGGGAAGTTTAATGTATACTAATGGGCTACACCCTAAGTTTTCCCTAAGGGGCAAGTAGTGGCTCACTGAAGCCCTTTCTAGTTGACAAAACAGCACCAGGGTAAGGCTTCAGCTTCTCCTCCCCCAGTGTATCTTGGTCCCAATCTAAGTTGGGCTTGCAAGCTCCTGGGAAGAATGAAACTCCCAGAGCACATCTGTCAATCTGACGTGAGAATGGACCCAGCAAAAGCCTATAATGAGTTTAGGCCCCATAAAAATGGTGCTATCTCCAAGTCCAGCCAACCTTTTGTCTTTGCAATCTGCCTCCTACTTCATGTCTAAAACGCTGCAGAGCAATACATCAGGAAGCATAGCAACTTTTTGCCAAGACACAAAACAGTCTTGTCCAATTTCTCTCAACATTCAGAACCTGAGATCCAGCCATTTTTCAATCCGTGGGACTCAGAAACACACAAAAACACATTCACATGTGTACTCACCCTGCTCCTTGCCTTGATCCTTTTGTAAACAAAATCTGGGAAGGGTTTCCTGGGGATATATCGTCCGGAACCTTCAGTTGCATGGATGTTACCATCCTCCAGCACAATCTTCCCTTGGCTGATGACAACCAATGGTGAGCCACGGCATTCCATGCCCTCAAAGATATTGTATTCCACAGACTACAAGGGGTGAAAAAGGAGGTGTTAAGACCCACCACATAGAAACACCAGTTATCTCCACTTAAAAAAACACCTTAAGTTAGATCCTATCATTCATGGCACAAAAATCAGGGATCTTTGCCACTTCCTCCACAAAGCAGCCCTTTCTGACCCAAATTGTCAACCATAGAACTGACATAAACTAGTAGTTGCTAGCAGTGAAACAGCCCCCTCCCCCATCTCCTGTGAATACCATCTCCACTGACCCAAACTGCTGGAGAATGATTTCTCCCCGACTTCCCATTCCTTGATCTAGCCTCCTGACCTATGCAGGTCCATACAGATCCTATGAAACCTGGGAATCAACTTCTCTGGTCAAAAGGGTGCCATTGCTGGGGAGAGGGAAATGTAGGAAGAATTCATGACCATCAGCACTTTCTGCTGGTGACTGCAGGATCCAGCCTCTTGGGTTGTAGGACTGGGAAAGACCTCTAAGTGGGATTCTCAAAATCCACTGTCAGTCAAGGTAAGCAATACTGGAACTATGTGGACCATGAGTCTGGCTCAACATAAAACACATTCTTACAGTTCCACCGCTCCCCCTGCCCCCATGTAAGGGCCCTCTTGTAAGCCGCCCTGAGCCCGCTCACGGGGAGGGCGGGGTAAAAATGTTAACAATAAATAAATAAATAAATGTCTCAACGGTGTTCCTCCCAAGTCAGGAAGTCACCGTGCCTCTATTTGTTTCCCCACACACCATTCCAAAACCTCCCCTTCCAGGACTCATTATGTTGTCAGGGGCACTGAGAAGACTCATATCCTCCCTTTTCTTTAAACTCTCTCAACATTTCAAGCCTCCTACAGTAGGGTTCAGTCCTCACCAGGCTGTCCTATTGCAGAGGAGTCCTTTTGGTTAGCCATGACCTGGATGGCTAGTCCACTCTCATCAGATCCCATAAACTAAGCAGGATCAGCCCTGGCTGGAATCTGGATGGGAGGCCACCAAGAAGTCCAGGGTTGCCAAGCAGAGGCAGGCAATGGCAACCATCTCTGACTATCCCTCGCCTTGAAACCCCTACAGGGTCACCACAAGTTGGTCGAGACTTGACAGCACTCTCCACCACCATCTTTTGGTTAATACAGACATTTTTCTGCATATCTGGGAAAACCTTTCTCTTGCACAGTTCTACTGTCTTCATGACTGGCAGGGGGCAGCCACTTCACAATAATTAGATTATGTGATTTTTATTTACTCTCCATAGCTCGTTATCCATGCCATTCATCTTTACGGGACCGCATCCATTCTATTTTCTTCAGTTTTTCAACACTATCTCAATCACTGTTTGGTGATAACCCTCATTTTAAGCGATGTCTCCAGCAAAAGAGGCTTTCCATCTTGCTTTGCAAAAATACTCATTGACCTTTGCCTCCAGGAAATCACTGCTCCTTTTCAGCATAGAATCAATGCCATCATAAGTAGAATTACACCCTTTGAAGTCCACTGATGTCTGTGGGTGCAGAAGGCTGTAGCTCAGCTTAGGACTGCCCTGAATAAGTGGATTCATGAAGAAAGGGAAAAAATCTCGAGGAAGTTTTTTCCGCCCAGAAAAAAATTCACATGGCTGTCTTCCAGCATTTGTAAGAGATGTAAACAGGCCCACACAGTTGCTGTTCTCGCTCTCTTTTAGGAGTACAAGATCAGAGGAAATTCATATCCTCAATGCTGCCTAAATGTCAGTTTCACAATCTCCTTCCGGACCCCTTCCAGTTGGTTGTCAGTCACTGAACGACAATATCAGGCTACACTGACCAATGGTTTGCCTTAGCCTGCATCCACATTATCATGGGATGTTCCACTACACACCAATCATTCATAACTGGATTGGTTTGCTCACATAGGATAATCTAGTTGGGAATTATTGTTATAGTGCAACGACATCCAATGATGTGTGGATACAGCCTTGGTATAAAAGCAGCTACATACGTTGCATAAACCCTTTCCAGATTATTGAATCCAGAATACTGAGCACAAGTTCTCCCTAACTTAAAACCTCCTTTTGTTGTTGTTTATTTCACTTTTACAAAAATGCAGTGAGGCTGGAGTGTGGGAGGGAAGGATGTCCTACAAAAAAACCCCACTTACTATGTTATGGGTTTTGGCAGAGATTGTCTTGACACTGTCTGGGTCCCAGATCACCAAGTCAGCATCAGAGCCCACAGCGATGCGCCCTTTCCGTGGATACAGGTTGAAGATCTTTGCTGCATTGGTGCTGGTCACAGCTACAAACTGGTTCTCATCCATCTTGCCAGTAACCTAACAAGAAAGGGTCATAGTGCATTCAAAGAAAGATCATATCAATATTTAAAGGCCTTTTTACAAACAGATATAGGTGGGTTTGACTGACCAGTTTCCTACCAAGCAGATCCTAGAACAGATGACCCAGTTCAGTTCCATTAAGATCACATTCTTCTCTGCCTGCCTTCCAGTGTGATTTAAACAACTGTCTCAAATTAATCAGTGCTTATACTGTCTCATGTGGTCTCTGCATTGCCCCCCCCCCCTTTACAGATTGCCAGTGCAGAGGAGAATAAGTGTTCTGCCTTAGCTGGAGTGTCAGGCTAGACTTGTGTCCAGATTCTCACCCTGTTGTGAAGCTCAGTGGATGACCTTGAGCCGGTTACTCTCACAGCCTCCTACATCACAAGGTTGTTGTAAGGGTGAAGTGGGGTGGGAAGAATTATGTATGTCACTCTGAACTCCCTGGAGGAAAACCAGGCTAAAAGTGTGATATATAATTGCACATATTGCAAAGAAAAGAATCTTGATGTGGTCAAGAAATTGCATCATGACTCCTTTGTGCTTGGTGTTTTGATCAGAGCCCATGGGTGCTTACACTCAATGGGAATTTATGAGGAACAAGAGAGACACAAATTGAAAGCCACAGCAAATTCTATAACAGTAGTGATCTGCAGAAAGATCCAGAAATAAAAGCCACAGCAACTGGCATTACCAATGAACTGGCAATTTTCTACAAACCAGACCAGGTAACTCAGAACCCCAAAACTGGGGGAGAAGGGGGTCAGATGGTGGTCAGATGGGGGAGATTTCACTGGCAGAGCCCTACTATTTAAAAAAAAAATGGAAAAGCACTCCAAATCTTAATGAAAAGGGGTTGGGTTCAGGTTATATAAGATCCAAATTGAATAAAATGTCCTTAGATCCTTAATTCCCCCACACACCAGAAAAATACCTGTTTTAACAAAATACTGAATGACTCCACCCAAGGGAGACAGCACAAAGCGAGACAAGAAATCTTGCAGCAAATCATATTTTATGCACATTGTTGCCTTGACAGCAAAGATGGCCATACATGATCGCAAAAACACTGACGATGCCAGACCATACATACCTGTGGTCAGTTTCTCCAAAGGAAAGGATCCAAATGAAGTTAAGCACACTTCAGGCCTATTAATTTCAATAGCCACAAACAACATCCACCAAGGGAAGACTATCTACAATTCACAACTATGTTCAAAACTATATATTACATTCACTGAAATACAAAGAAGGGTTAGTGGTCACAACCCAATAGAGTATATAGACACTGATCCAACAGATTGCTCATAACAATTAAACATAGTTAAACAAAAGAACAAGACAAGATTGACTGCTTAATGCATATATCAATTCAAAAACACAGAAAAAATGTGTCTCACCCCGATTTCCAAAATAAAATCGGCAAAGCTCAAAAGCTTCAATGGAATCCAAGGGTTCTCTACAAGGCAACCTGCCATGCAGCATTTAACCATATACATATTAATTGCAATATAGTTTCTTAAAGTGGACCCATCCCATTTTTCATGAACATGCCCCCGTTTCACATACACTCCTATTCTAATCAATTGCAATCTTCCTCAAATAAAGGCAGCAAAATTAAGTATCTGATTCATTCCATTTGGTGCTAAAGTTTTTAATTCAAAAATCAATCTAGACTCCTACTGTAATAAAATATGATTAGCATTGATTTTGCTGCCTTTATTTATATGCATCATGCAGTCAATCTTGTCTTTCTATGTATATTTATGATTGTTTCACAGTTCCATTTTACCAGCTGCTGCTGAAGACCATTGAAACGCTTGGTTTATACCTGGGAGAGGCGTCTGGCTGTTATTCTTTCAACAGTGGGAGTCTTCTGCTGAAGTTACTTTCTGTTTGGAGGTCTATGGACACTATCTACATATGGAATTGCAGGAGACTACTGTTGGTTTTGAATATGTTTAATTGTCATGAGCAATCGGTTGGATCAATGTCTATACACTCTATTGGGTTGCGACCACTAACCCTTCTTTGTATTTCAATAAATGTAATATATAGTTTTGAACATAGTTGTGAATTGTAGATGGTCTTCCTTTGGTGGATGTTGTCTGTGGTTATACTTTTACACTATGGCTTTCCTGTTGTCTTTGGCACTATTAATTTCAATGGCAATATAAGCGCAAGCTAGCTCTTCCACTGAATAATCATATAGGGCTTTTGAGTGTGCCTGGATCTTCCCTGCAATCCTTGTCATAATTTGGAACCATCAGTGTCCAGATCAACAGCAAAATCAGGCTCTTGCTCTCAGCTAATCCCCAGGGCTTTCCACTGGATCTTGACTTGCAACTGTGCCTCCTTGTTTTGAGAGCTGGTGAAGCACAGCAGTTCAGATCAGGAGGTAAGGGCATCTTTCCAGCCCAGCCACTTCGCTGGGCATCCTTTGGCACGCCACCCTCTCTCAATCTCAGCCCCATCCCCAAACATCCTGTGGGGGTATCATTAGGGGTTTATGATACAGGAGTATTACGGAATACTGACGTGTGCAAGACACCTTGAGCATTTAGAAAAAGGCTACATAAGAATTCAAGGTATAATTATTATTCCCTTTTCAACATTTATATAAGAAACTGTTCCCACTTGGCTATTCCAGATAAGCAACTCATTCCAAGACCTGAGGCTCCTCTCAATTATGATTCAGCCTCATGTCATTTTGTATAATCACATGACAAATGGCTACTTGGTCTGCTGAAGTGGACTTAACAAGGGCCAGTTAAGGACAGGAAATCTCCAAGCCCTCATTGTCTGGATACTCAGACCTTTCTGAGTGATCTAAGTGGAATTTATTCTCCAGACATAGTGGATTTCTGTCACTGTCCAACC